CATCTGCCCAACAGCACAATCATAGAGAAGCTACAAATGAATTTCATATTTGAACAAACATTGGCAGTAACTGCCCCAAAACACTGGGGAGTTTGAGGTTGGCTGACACATCTGAACTTTTTGGTTGGCCCAGTAGTTGAGTTCAATAAAAACTGTGGACAGCGGTCCAAGTCAAGTACAAGTACAGTGCAGATATATTATAAAATTTGCCTTCCTTCTCTCGTTCCCTCCACCCACCCCTGATTTTGCTTTCGCTGATCTCTAGTCGGGACAGAACTTTGTTTTTTCTGAGTGTAGGTGGAGTCAAATGACTTTTGGGGAGGGGAGGAGGGGATTCTTATAAAATCTGACAGCTTACACATCCTGAATGAGACAGATTGGTTTGTTCAGATAGACTGTGCATACAAGGAACAATGAGTAAGATGACCTGGTGGTTTGCAGCACAACTCAAGAACTTACATACAACTGGAAGGTGAAGGAAGAGCTTCATATCCCACACAAGCCTGGGTTACCTGAATAAGGTAATTTCTTTATGCTATATTTTATTTTTGTTACTTCAAACTGGCTGCTCAGAGCATTCAGCCCCTCTTTTCCATGCTAATATACTTTGTCAGTAAATTGTGTTATAGATTATATTCATTAGACTGGCTCTTACTAAAATGATGTTAATGAAGTTAGAAAGGAGAATTTTATTAAGAGGTCCTCTTGAATTTGTGTCTGAAGAGCAGTAACTAGCACGGCTCTATTGTATTTGAAGCTGTGGTGGCATGAGAGCATCAGCAGAGCCAGTCTGAGTGTTAGATGAAAGCCAGAAGTGTGACAAACGTAGTAAGTACCTGTTCCCTGGCTGTGTACAAAGGCACATGTGTGAAGGAAGTTTCAGCATAAATTACAATTTATTTCCGTGTTTCTTTCCATCTTTCTTCTAATACAACAATTAAAACAAGATTATATTAGTTAATCTGTTGTCAATTTATTAAAGATCTAATTTGTATTTAGTTTTATGTATTTTATTTTGCTGAATAATTCCTACTTCAAGGTAGTCTAGTTGGTGGTCCTCTCCCAATATCAGCCTTTGGTAAAAGTAGTTTTGCCTTTGTGTACATCAAGTGTGTTTTTCTCCTTTTCTTTTTCTTTTTTTTTTGGTAAGTCCAAATCCAAGGTAAAGTACCGTGCTTGTACTGGAAACCCAAACCAAACCTCAACTAACAAGTCACGTTTCTTCATCTAAGTATGGAAAAACTTAATACTTGCCTTTTTTGTCTTCTTGGGGAACCTGTTTCTGCAAAGTGCTAAGTATTACCAGCTCACAGGGAGTCCATCCAGCCTCTAAGAGAGATTGAATACAGTTATTTGGGGAGCTTTATGTATGAGCTGCATGAAAACAAGACTAGGATTCATGGCAACAACAGTCTTTTCTTGATTCCACCACCAAGTTGTTCCGCGATGTGCAGCAAATATATTAAACTCATTTGCTCTTCTGTAAAAAGCAAATTAGAACGTGGAACACGAGATAACCAAGTAACGCAAATGTCAGTCTTCACAAGTTTATATGGCACCCTAAAATGCAAGCAGTCAAACAAGCTTTATATAGTTTATTTTTATTATTGTCTGTTAAATCTTCTGAATCATTGACATGAATAAAAGCAGAAATAGCTTGGAGAATTTGTAGAGCATGAATAGAGGAACACCCCCAGTGCCACAGAAAGTGCCTTTGTAGCTATCCAGCTGCAAAGATGAAGGTTGCGCTTTTGCCTGCATGTTCTTGCTGGCAAATTTTGCCATAAGGGGAATGATACTACTGGCAGAGCTGCCTGCAGCTGTGAGCTGATGCACACACCAAGCACAGACGACAGCATAGTGGCTTTCCTGATTGAAGCCCCTGTCTCACAGAGCATCCATTCCAGCTGCCATGGGAAAGCTTGGAGGTAGGAGGCAGTGGGATGCTAGGCAGAATGTTAATGCTTCCAGGCATGGCTTTATGTTCTTTGAGGGATCTTGTGCGTGGCCAAGCACAACAGAAAGGGCAGTTTCCCCACAGGTTTTTCCTCCTTTCTTTTAAAAGGTTAGTTTCAGGGGCAAGAGGAGAAAGTGAAGTCATTAAAAGATGTATTTGTGGTCAGGAAAAAGACTATTCATTTATGTCTTGAGAGCAGTAGGGACTGATTTATACTCCTCCTAGGGCAGAGTTTGCCTAATGAAGGTGAAGGGTGCTGGGTGGTGTCAGGAAGTAGTAGATTTTATCATGCCTGTTTTAGTCTGGGTGCTGCCTGGTAAGTAGCAGGATTTCTTCTATCTGTCTTGCAGCAGAAATCATAATCCCTTGCCCAGGCATGTGCATGCAGAGTGGAGTAATATCAGTATCACTCTGCCTAGGCAGGCTCATTTAGCCTGAGTTTTGCATCCTTTTTTATGTTCTTCAGTGCCTCAAAACAAATTATGACCATGCCACTTGAACCCAGCAATATAAGAAGACATGGCTACAGCTTGATCTAGTTTCTGCATTTTCTTACAGTATCTGAGCACTAATACAAGTATTAACGTTTTCAACCTCACAAAATTCATGACCTTTGAAAGTATTAGCTGCATTTGACAACTGAGAAAACAGAGGCACAGCAAGATCAAACAGCTTGCTCAAGGTCACCCAGAAACTGTGGGAATGAAAACCAGATTCTTTCATATGGACTTCAACCACAAGGCATTCCTCCCTCTCTTGTGGCTGAGCTTTAAGATTTTCAGGATGTTGTCTGAGACCTTGAGCAACTGATTAATCTGTCTGGCTATGTCTGTCACGCAAATGTGTCCAGTGCCATATGTTAGTCCGAAATTTAAGACAGACACATGGCAGCAGAATGATTTTGCTTCTGATCCCCACAAGGCTCTGACGGCTTCTTTCCCCCACCCTGCTGCAGTGTTTTAGGTCCTCCTGAGACCATGTACCTCAGTGGGGCAAATCACGGGACTAGTGACTGCTGCTTTGTACTGGATGGCTTCTAGTCATATGGATTCCCTTAACCCTCATCTTTCCCAGCTGCACACAGGGAAGATAAACGTAAGTATAGTGCATCTTTAGCTATCTTTAGCTCACATTCTCCCTCTTAGAACCAAACTTCTTCCTGTGCCATGTCTTTTTTGGTCTCCTGCATTTGCTCAGAATTTAGTGCCCATGAAGAAACAAGAAAAAAGTAGGAATGTTTCCCTCCCTCGGCCAGATCCTATGTCCTCCGTGCACTGTGTGATTACTCCAAGTTTGTCACAAAACTTCTAAGGGGAAATACGCTTTTTCAGTTATGTATGTGTTTAATAAGACGTGCTTGCCTATTGAGATGCCTTCACAAGGAAGCATGTGCCCCATTTTGGCAAAAAATGTTTATAAATAATAATAATTAAATAATATTAAATTAATAATAATAATAAAAAATAAATGTTTGGCATGAATGTTTATAAATGCTCAAATGTTGAGGACCCTAAAATTCTTACGCAGTGTTCCTTGCAAGTTACTCACACTATAAAAATGGCTATATTGGTTCAGGCCAAAAGGGGATGTTTAAGGTTAAGAATAGACTAAGCATAAAGTCATACTTCCCAGTTTCTGACTACGTGCAGCTTGGAGACTTCCTGAGCCAGGGACCATTTTTAAGCATTTGGTAATCCTCAGTAGTTTTGCACAGCACAGATTTATCTAATATTTCCATGTAAAGTTTTAGTATCCATAGTATTATGTGGTAGGGAGCTCCAAAGTTTCACAGTGTACAGGTAGTGTTCAGATGTCCAGTACCGTATCTAGTACTGGTTCCCTAATACACTCCTCAGAGACCAGAGTAACACCCAGTTTCATGCTGAATACCATTTTTGAGATTACACACATCCTGTTTACACAGGGAGAAGACATATTGCCACGGGAATTACTAAGAAATTATTGTCATGGTTCTGAATTAGAGTATTGCTTACAACAACAGCAAGAGTTAGTATTAAGTTTATACATTCCCATTCTTTAGTCAAAGTTGCCACTTCACATGGGATTTTAGAGACAAAGCACAAACAGAAAAAACAGGTTTACAGGATTCCTGGAACTTATGCAATGATTAAATAGACAGTATCAAGGTTGAGAGGGTCCCATAGTCAATACCTTCAACTTGAATTCCTTTGTTTTTAAATGTCATTTTGGTATTTGCCAAATGGAAGGTGAAATCTCTCTTTGAGAGGCTGCCATTTCAGGAATGGAAAGTCCACTAGGTTCAGACTTCCAGATAAGTGAAGTAGCTTCCATTTATTTCCATTTATGTGGATACCCAGAAGATTGAAACCGATAGATTTCCTGTCCTTTTAAGGTTAGGAATCTTTTCTTTTTTTCTATCTCTTATCCTGTCACACTAGTGATACCACCCATAGGAGCAACTTAGCAAATATAATGCTTTATTCATACACACAATTATGACGAGAGGCTGATGGGTACAAACAACTGCCTTAATGGCTTTGAAGTTTGTGAAGTTTATTGCGATGCCCAGAGAATGTTAGAAAGTAGGGTATCCTGTCAGGCATTCAGTTTTCTAATTGTTTACTGTGATGTGGGTGGGATAAGGTTCTTGAAGTTACTAGAATGGGTAGGATCCTGGGCCTGTCTTTGAAAATCTTAGTGTCTGCATCATCTCTTTTCCCATCGTCTTCTCTCCTATTTTCACATCTGCATGCTTCTTTTTTCTGTCCTCCTTACCTGAATATTTTTCTCTTCTTCATTTTTTTGCTTTCTTTGTTTTACTTCCTACTCTGCCTTCTGTCTCCTGGGGCATCTGTTTCCCAGGTAATATTTTCAATCAAACCACTGAAATGCATATTGTATTTTCACTTGGTAATTACTTGTGTAAGCCATTCCTAGAATCTTTTAATTAATTTCTTTAACACTGGGCCTTCTACTGATTTGCAGATCTGTTAAAAGTCCTCACCACCATCACTACCACCCCAGCAAAAAAACCTGAGAGAAGATCTGAGAATTAGAAAAGATGCAGGCCAAAGACAGCAGTCCACCAGATGGTGGCTATGGATGGGTTGTGGTAGTGTCAGCCTTCATGGTGATGGGCCTCACTGCTGCCGTCCTCAAGACTTTTGGTCTGTTCTTTGTTGAAATCCAGCAGCACTTTGATGAACTTGCAAGCACCACTTCCTGGATCACATCAATAACTATTGCCATGTTTCATTTAGGAGGTAGGTAGAGGTGCTCCTCTAGCACTTTATTTTAATGTTAACTACTCCAGAAATTTTGAAGACCTTCCTTAAAAAACCCCACAAAACAAAAACATGTAAGGACAATACTTCCTTCTTCTGTCTTTACAGAAAATTGGCATTTGCTTCCTCTCATAAAAATGTATCCATGCCTCAGACATGGAATGGGTTAATGAGGACTCTGTATATACACAGGAATCTGATTGCCTTAAAGAACTTCATGTACCTAGACTCATGATTCAATTTTCCTACAGGCTTTGAATCAAACTCATTGGAGATAATCCTAAGAACTGCAGAGCTTGTTGGATCAAGCTCTTAAACCAGTTGGTGCAAGTTCACTGATCTCACAGTGAATGTCACTTTTTCAAAGTACTTTAAGACATAAGGACTGTGACCCTGCCTAGCAGATAAGCCATCTGCTACCAAAATGGTGACCCTCAGTCCTGCTTTCCTCCCACTTCTCCTTTTTGTCTTCACCAAGATCCCCCTTTCTTCCATGTATTGCCAGTTTTGGCTCTCCTTTTTCCCCCTTAGAATGATTCCAAGTCATTGATCTAACAGAAAACTCGCCGAGTTAAAAAGAAAAAAAAAATCGGTTCATTCATAGCCTAAGGAAGACAAGACCACGCAAGCAGAGAGTAAGGGAAGAGAGAGTGAACTATCCCATTCAAAGGCAATGAGCTATGGGATCAGGTCAAATACCACATCTCACCAAATGAAGGAGGGAAAAATATCAAACATACTGCATTTGGCTCTTAACTTAGTTGTTTACAGAGTCCTTTGTGCCCTTGTAAACTGGATGATCCTTCACCATTACGGTGAGGATTCTAAACATGTGCAGGCAGGAACTGTACGGAATTTGTGAAGTCCGCTCTACATATTCTCATATAGATACATAGTTGCAATAGGTAAGTATCCTGACGTAATAAATGCTATCATAATTTTGTTTGTGAAAATGCTTCATTGCATAGACACTATATAATTATATGCATCCTACTCAGTCCACACCTATCAGTATTACTGCTTGTAATTGCAGTACTTCCAAAGATCATGAACAACTGATCTTTCTTTGAAAAATGTATTCAGAAGAACAAAACAGTAATTCAAAGTCAAAGGAAAAAGATAAAGGAAGTCATGCATTGAAAAGATTTTATCAGTTCCATAAACTGCTATCCTTGATGCTTGGTTTGCAGTATTAGAGCTTGTTTCAGTCTGACAGAAATAGTGAATTGAAAAATCAGTGAAAAACCTGCTTTTCCACCTACTTCACAGACTACAGAAATGAATAAATGGGAATCTGTCAATTTGGTTTACAAATTAGACTTGTCACTGACCTATTGTGATACTATTTTGTCATTCAGGCATATGAACCTAATGAGAAAAAAAAACAACATAGGAGGATAAAAGAACTCAAAGTCCTGTGTTAGGTTGTTTTGGGTTTTTTTAAAATATATATTATATAGGAATGTATCAAGGATAAAGCATATTAAATAATAATATCAAGTATAAACCAGCAAAACTGTATTTGCCTAGCCAGGTGTGAGGCTGGCCTACTTCAAAGAAGGCAGCTATAATTTTCAGCAGAAATTGGTTTTCATCTTTTGAAATCCTATGAAAATAATCCTCTTTCAGTGAATACAGCTTGATAGCCAGACGTTCCAAAACCTTTCTGTATAGCAGTTCATAATGTCTCAGGTCACTAGGTAATTTTCCTTACCTTCTCCTGCCTTTGCTTCATTTATAGGGACCAGAAGACTTTCTGCCGAACATCATCTGAGCCTCCAGTTCTTTGAGCATCTTTCCTGGCCTGGCTTAGTGTTTCTTAGTATGTTCCTCTGGGAAACCTTCAGTGTCATTTGGCTCAGTATGAAGGTTGATCAGTGAATTATTAATTTTTCCCATTTGGATCCTTCAACAGCAGCTCTGTGTCTTGTCTGGAAGGAGAGCACGTGCTTCTACTTTTGGGGTTTGCACCTGCAACAGGCTGTTCAATTTACCACAGCAAGGATTCCCCCCATCACACACATAGGCCTTCTCTTCGTACTGATGTACATCTCCCATCACCTTTCTCTTTGCACTGTGATTATCATCTCTTTCCACTGTTTGTAAGTTTTCTGTGTATTGCCCTTTATCCCTTCAGACTCTGGACCCTAGCTATCTTCTCCATTTCCAGTTCTGTGGCTAGCTTCTTTCTTCCTCCTGCTACCCCACAGTCAATTTCCGTCTATTTCTTCTCCTCGTTCTCTATAAAAAAATTGCTTTTTGGTAGTATTTCTGCTCCAACTGCAGATCTTTCATTTGTCTTTAAGCACTTCCATGGATCTCTCTTGTTATCCTGAGTCTACTTTTCTTTTGTTCATCATATATGTATGATTCTCCAACTGTATAGTCTTTTTCCTGTCATCCCTTCCACTACATCTTACAGACCATGGCTGAATTCCAGTATCATTTTTATATGCTTATCAAATCATTGTATTTTTGCTGTAAATGCTGATGAGACATTTGGGGTTTGTGTAACTTCTGCCAGCTACCTGCTGTCAGACAATGTACATCCTGCAGTTTTTGCAGCCATTAATATCTCTCTGCCAGGTTTATTTCACTTACCCTAGCTACCAAATTCTCTTCATTCTTACCTTATTTAACACATGTGAACGTTAAACAACCTGCCCCTACAAACTACTATAAATCCTACCTTGCTGACTACCCTCTCTTAATTGTCTCCCCACTTATTTCAGTTTATAAGCATGGTCCTCGTTAACTGAATTTCATTTTATCCCCGAACTCCAATTTCCAGAATATAAATAAACTGTAGGGAGCTGACTCCCTGTTTGCAGCAGGAAACCCCACCGAGGACTGCTGGTGTCAGATGTTACTTGGGATCCCTCTAGTGGCCATGGTTATTTAAAAAAGAATCCTATATTTGGGGTTTGAAACTGTCCCCACAGAACAGAGAGTGCCTTTCCATGATAGGTATGGCCTGATCTTAACTCTGTGATGCTAATGCAAAAACTGCCGGGTAGTATAAATGATCCTTTTAAGCAAAAATATCCCTAACATTTCAGGTGCTTCCAGACAGTGGCTAGAGACCAGTGCTTTGGCTTTTGGAATCGCTGCACCAAGTCAGATCTGTACCTGGTGCAACTTTGCCCTCATGTGTTGAAGAGTTGATGCAGTCTGCTGAGAGAAATTGTAACACTGAAACAAAAATTTAAGAAATGAACTGCAAATTTCCTGGAAAAATATTACCTCAAAATAAACCTCAATTTTTGGTCCTTTATAAGTGAACAGATGATTTTGCAAAGCTCTAGAAGATAAAGATTTGTTTTCTCCAGAAAGTTTTCATGCCAGCCATATCAATAATACACTCTCAATAATACAATTTTTATAGATTAACCTAGAGATTCTATGGCTGGGGTTTCTCTTTCTGCTAAAAGGCTACACAAATTTCTGTCATGTCGCTAGTTGTACACTTACATGAAATTCAGTAGAACTGTTCCACAAGGAAGGCACTGAAATGCTCTTTCCCTTTAAAAAAAGTCCACATATTTTGAATATATTTTGAAATCTGTGCTGCAGGGACAGTCATTTCCCTATCAGCAAGGATCCAATTTTAAAATCTCAATTGATCCCCCTGCTGTCCAGCAGAATTCAGGCTGTTTGAGACAAACATTATAAGGGTATTTCTCCTCCAAATGCTTTATTTGATTGTTTGGTCCTGTCCATCAGCTTAATGTTCCTAACGTATTTATCTTTCTCCTATTCTGCTGCTGATCTAGCCCCTGTTGCCAGCTCGTTATGTGTACGGTACACCCATCGGGCAGTTGTGATCACTGGAGGACTCTTGGCTTTTTCAGGAATGGCACTGGGATTTCTTGGACTCAACATGGTCTGGATGTATGCAACGACTGGCTTCCTACAGGGTATGACTTTATGGCTTTATGGATTTCCTTCACCAGCAACTCAGACCCCTTATTTGAGGGTGCTAATGGTAGGGGGTTTAAAATCTGATTTCTATTTTGATTTTATGAGCAACTAGAAACAGCAACCCTCTTTAAAGGTCATTTCCCTCATGTCCCACTCTGGAAGTAAGAATTTGCACTAGAAACCAATGACAAAGAAGGTGAATAATTAGAGGCTAGTAGTTTTCACCTGCAAATTATATGCAACCAGAAAATGAAGGGTGTTTTATTTTTTACTCAGAGCCAAGAGCTCTGTGAAGGTTTAAAGAACCTAAAGGGTGCTGAAGTACAAGGATGTAGAGACCCCAAATTTTGTACTCTCTATCAAATAATCTTATGATTTGAACACAGGCCCAGACTTTCAGTTGATTCCAATCCTTTGCTTTACTCCAGGTGAAAACAGGCCAGAAAGTTGTCTTCAAGAGCTAGCAGATTTTCCTGGAACAGGAAGCGAAGCTGGCAGGGAATAAAATAAACCATTCCCAGTTCCATGCTGGATGCCTGAGAAAATGTCTGGAATTTGAGCCCTTTGGCAGTCCTGAGCTGCCAAATAGTTTCTAGGGAGCCATTAAAATCACTGTAAGTTAGAGCAGGTTTGCAGCCTGCTCAAAGCAGTCGGGCAAGAAAATGAAGAGCAAATAGAGGTAATACACCAGCTTCCTTCACCTCCTCCCTCACTTTCTACCCTGAACACAGCTCAGCTTAACCTGGCGATCTGATCTAGTACCAGCCTTAATTAGGATAGCGTGGACACTCTTGAGATGTCATTTCTCATCCAGTGACAAACTTGTCAAACCAAGTTTTTTTTTTCACAGTGAGAATATAATAGTGTATACTTCATACTCCTGCTTTTTTGCTTGAACATGCGACTTATCCTCATAGAACATACACCACGAATACACTCTTAGACATAGTACAACTGAGCTCATGCTTCTGCTAGGAACAAAAGTGTTTTTCTTTTACCAGTTTTTAACTTTGCAAATGTAGGAGCACTGGCTGCTTTAATTTCCACCTTCACAAAATACCTCAATAGTGTCTAACTCGTGCTATTTGTATTGGTGTTTTTCAGGACTTGGGATTTCCTTTTCATGGACACCAGCCATTAGCATTGTTAGCCATTATTTCTCCAAGAAAAGAGCTTTGGCCAATGCTATTGCCAGTGCCGGAGAATGTGCCTTTGCATTCACATTTGGGCCATTTTTCCAGTGGTTGATTAGTCAATATGGATGGAAAGGTGCCCTCTTGATCATAGGTGGCATCCAACTCAATATTTGTGTCTGTGGAGTACTGATGCGACCTCTGGCAAGCACCTGTCTCCTTGAGGCTAGCCATTCTGAAACTGAGACACCACCTGGTAATGGTGCATCTAGGATAGACAAAGAAGATAAGTCTGCCATCACACACAAAACCTTCAACTGGATGCTTGTGAGGCAACCGGAGTTTGTACTTTATGCCATTTTTGGCATATTAGCTGCTATGAGTTTTTTTGTTCCTCCGTTATTTTTAGTTCCACTTAGCTACAGCCTGGGAATAGATGAATCGTGGACTGCATCCCTCCTATCCATTTTGGCTATGGTGGACTTTGCAGGCAGGCTGCTATGTGGCTGGTATGCCAATCTCCACGTTACCAAACCTGTTCATTTGCTGACAATGACAATTACACTGATCAGTACTTCCCTGATGCTGTTGCCACTGGCTAACAATTACCTGTCCTTGGCAATATTCACTGGCTTCTATGGATTCTTCTTTGGCACAACAGTTGCCGTTCACATTACAGTGCTAGCAGATGTTGTAGGCATGCCAGATTTTGACAGTGCTCTAGGGCTTTTCATGCTCATTCGAAGCACTGGAGGTTTTGTGGGGCCTCCTCTCGCTGGTAAGTTAAGATGATACTCTGCCAAATACAGTTTACAAGAAAGGGGAATGGTAACCCAAACTGAAAAAAATCTGGATCTGGATCCAGATTTCCCCCTTTTTTAGCTCAGGGGTATCGGGACCAAGAAGTATATAAAAACAAAGAGTCAGTTTAATTCCTTTCCAAAATATCTTGCTCCCTCTCTTCTCTGTGGTTTTAGAGATACCTGTTCAACATGAAAGCAGGGAAGAATGGCAGTGTTCGCGTGGGGTGTTCCTGCTTCGTGAATCCCGCAGAATCCCACTTGATGGACTCTCACTGTCTTGCTGTGAAAGTGTACCTTTGGGACAAGCAGCAGATCCGTACTTTCAGAGAAGAAACTGAAATTTGAGACTAGTGATGTGGCATAAATGCTGGTATTGTTGGGAGGGTTTCTACAGAGGTCAAATTGAACAGCTTGAAACATTAGGCTATGTGAACCTCAAGGAAATATTCACAGAGATGCCTGCTGTTTTCAGACAGCATTTGAGCTAACCAATGTAATAAATGGGGGAGGCAGCACATAAAAACAGTAGGAGGAGAGAGCAGACAATGAGACAGCACATGGATTTATGGGCTGGCAACGAGACAAAGTCATCTTGGAAAAATGCAAGACAAACAAGCTGCAAGCTGTAGGGACTTTACAAAGTGATATGGCAGAAAAATGACCAATATGTGACTTGTAAAACGCCGATCTGAGTCCTCATCCAAAGACCACTGCTCATGCACTACAGTGACTTTTGTGGTAATGACACCAGTAATAGGTTGCAAATGGGTCAGACTGAATACTGGAACATTTTAATTCACTTTTGAAAATAGCGGAACCAGGAAGATTTATAGAGACTTTGAGACAGAACAGTATCAAAAATATGTTGGGAAGATCTGAATAAAATACAAAGATAACAAGACATTTATATAGTGTCTGGTCACTAGTACTAATTACCTGGGGATCAGTGTGACCCCTTTGTGTATATATAGTAAGCTAAAAAGAAGGTATAGAAGAGGAAGGAACCCTAAGTGCTTCTCGAGCTCTCCTCTCCTACTTTAAGAGTAAAATCTAAAAGATTTGGATTCAGAGTTCCTTTGCCTAACAGCACTAATATTAGGTTGGAATGAGGGCCAGGGAGTATGCTAAATGTGGACAGACTTTCCAATGGGAGACCAAGCAAGCAGCCTTCATCAGCCCACAAATGAACCTGCCATTGTACCCACAGAGCAGCCGATACTACCACATACACTGCTGCAGTACTGCTACACTACTACTGTTTTTTCAGTATGGTACACAATGGCATTAGGTATTTTGGTTGGCTTAAAGCTACCTAAAAAACAGGGTCTTTTTGTAAACATCTGTGACTCTTTGTAAAACGATGAACAGGAAAGCCCATAAGACTGCAGGCAACCTCTCCAACTGTGTCTCCAGCAGAGGCCTCTCCTTTCCTTCTTTAAACTCTCTCGTGCTGTACAGTTACGGTCCGAATTACAGCAACTGATGACAGCTACACCACAGAACATGGGGCTACTCAGATAGAAAGCTGCATGATTTGGGTTTTTTTCTGCCATTACCTTCATTACCTTCTGCCATGTGTTAGGTTGGAAAGTGCTTCAAACTGTATAGTATCTTGTTTTACTAGCAATTCACATATGCAGAGTAAATGAGACATGAATCATGTTTCAAATTTTAAAATGCTATAATGGGGTGTTGTTCCATGCACTCATGATGTAGAAAGCTGCAAGACTGGTACGTAGCCAGCATACCCCCTTTGTGAGAGGATATGTTCACACTGCTGAGCTAATTCACGTTAACCTGTTTTCTGTCAATCACATTACTGTCATTTATTTCTCTCCAGGTCTGATCGTGGACATGGCTGGAGATTACAGAGCAGGCTTTTACATGGCAGGAGCCACTCTTGTCCTATCAGCTGGATTTTTAGTTACTTTAGATCAACTCCAACAGAGAAAAGAAAGAGGAAGCCAGACTAATACTAAACCAGAAAAGTCAACATTACCCTACCCTTCCCTCCATCCCCTGAAACTTCAAAACAGAACGTATCGAGAACATGACGTAGTGGTGTGACTACACTGGCCATCTTACAGCATTTCAGGACATATGGAAGTGTTTTATTTTCTCCAAATGCAATATTAGTAGGATTTATAAAATGATGGAAGTCTTGGATAGGAATGTTTTAAACTGAGGAAGAACGTCATTAGTTTACAAGCAAACCACACTAGTAACCATTATCATATTATTTTGATGCTGAAGTTGCTTTTTGACTATGCAAGTCTTCAACTTAGTCCCACAGGGCCGCAATAAGCAAACTAGGGAAACTACGGCCTAAATGAAATTACCATGAAGCGTGTGTGCAGCAGGTAGAAACCCTCCTCCCAAATACAGACTGCAGCCATCACTATCAAAGAAGAAGAGGCATCAGCTCACAGATGTTTAGCTTGAGGAAGTAGTGTTCAGTATTTTCAGTAAACAAGTTGGATGTGAAAGCAAGAGTACATGAATATAGTTTTGAGCTAAACGGTTTGCAGGTACTCTACAGAGCAGGGCTGGAATCTGATAAATAAATAAACCTGATAAAATGGGGAAAGTTACATAAATAATAGAATTAGTAGAGAGAAATGCAGTTCTAATTACTGGAAGTAAAAAGCAAAATACACACATAAAATGGAGAAGGATTGACGAATAACAGAGGAAGACCTAAGGCTACAGTGGACTTCAAACCAAGTAAGAATCCCAAATGCAGCCCTATATTAAAAATAGTAAATGTCTTTCTGTGCTATGGTAAGATAGAGGAGATAATGATGCTTGCAAGGCTTTAACTGGAAGAGGTACATAAGTTGCAAAGAACAAAATACACACATAAAATGGAGAAGGATTGACGAATAACAGAGGAAGACCTAAGGCTACAGTGGACTTCAAACCAAGTAAGAATCCCAAATGCAGCCCTATATTAAAAATAGTAAATGTCTTTCTGTGCTATGGTAAGATAGAGGAGATAATGATGCTTGCAAGGCTTTAACTGGAAGAGGTACATAAGTTGCAAAGAATGAAGTGGAACAAGAATGAGAAAGGTTAAGAAAACAGCCTAAAGAAAAAGTGTAACAAATAAAGTTTGTCTGGTTTAGAAGACACAAGGTTGTACAGAGCATGAGAACAGCCTTCAAATCCATAATAGGTTGAGATAAAGGAGACACAATTAATTCCTTTCCTTGTTATGGCAATTAGTAATTGACATAATGTGCAGCAAGGCAGATTTATGTAATGGGGAAAAAACTTCGTTGTAGCCTGTTAAGCATAGAAACAGACTATAGGGAGAATATGAAAACAGAGAGATATCAGAGAATAGCTAAGACAGGAGGGAGAATCTAAATATATACAGTTGTGCTTCAGAACAGTGGGATGTAGTAGATGACTTCCTGAGGTCCTCTTTAGTCCCACATGTCAACTATCCTGAGGCTCTTTGAGCAAATACTCTATTTATGAGAATAAAAAGAGTCTGTATCCAAATCACTTTTTTTTTGGTCATTTTATTTTATTGGGGGAAGAGACAATGTAAAAGAAGGGAGGAAGGGCTGGATCACATTTAAAAAGAAACAGTAAAAGGAAAAAACTTAGCACTTAAAAGCTTTTAAACTCTTACAAATGTCATAGCTGCCCTAGTTATAAACTTCAGAAATTTTTAACATTGAATCACTTTATCTGTGATGCCAAGTTTAACATAAATCACTCATCGAAAATAATTATTCCTTGTCTCATAAGAATAACAATTATTTCAAAAAATTAATTTAACTTACAGGAAATTAGCTGAACCACTAATAAATCAAGTGTCTGTGAGGGCTTGATTGCAGAACACACGTTGGAAGGGACACAACTGGGTGGGCAAGGTATTGTAGCAAGGCCCTGAAATTTCTGGCAAAACATTTTTCAATCATGTCAGTTGAAAAACTTAGATTTTTCTAGAAAGTGTTATTCTTCAGTCTTCTGCTGTGTTCCAATATTTAAAATAACTCTTCATTTTATAAAATGAAAGGAAGGCGAATTGGAGGAGGGAGGAATGGAGATGTTTTTAATAGATGCAGTTTCCCCTTCTGACTTTCTGTTAAAATTCTATATTTTATTTACAAGCCCTGTCACCGATTTCTGTATTTTGATATGTCCTGACATCTGACATGGGCAGTAAAGGCGGCTAGTGGCATCCTGGGCTGTATGAACAGGGGCACAGACAGTAGATCAAGGGAGGCGATTATTCCCCTCTGCTCTGCAGTTGTGCATCCATTTTGGGGCACCAGCTACAGGAAAGACATTGATAAACATGACAGAGTGCAGCAGAGGGCCACTGAGGGGCTGCGGGACCGGGGCTGGTTCAGCCAGGAGGAGGGGTGGCTTTGGGGGCACCCAAGAGCATCCCCGGCACCGACGGGAGGGATGGAGGAGATGCAGCCAGGCTCTTCACAGTGGCTTATAGCTGGAGGGAGAGAGGCAGCGGCACAAGCTGAAACACAGGAGGCTCAGGCTGGAGCCACGAGGACAGCCCAGCGGTGGAGCTGGGACCCAGGGAGGTTGGGCCGTCACCATCCTTGGGAGTTTCATGCCCTGTTGGGGTGAAGCCCTGAGCAGCCCGGTCTGAGCCCAGAACTGGCTCTGCTCTGGGCAGGGGCTGGGGCTGGAGACCTCCCCAGGTCCCCACCAGCCTGAACAGGATCCCGTGACCCTGTGAAGGGAGAAATGAAAAGTCATTCTTTTATTTTTTCTGCTAAATGCACTGAATAGCATTAGTCACCTAGACACACTGTCAGCTGATGATTATGTATCTGTTTAATAGCACAGAAAAAGTACTATTTGTATTCATTCTGGGACTGCTTTTACTTCAGCTGTAGCAGCAATATTCCAAGTTAAGTTTCACTGGACTATTACTGCAGGGATTACTTGCAAAGGGCTGTTTTGTTCCAAGCTGCTGCTGCTGTAGTCAGTGTTGCCTATATTCACTTTCTTCAAACAAAGAGTTTCTGAGATGGCCTCAGAGACCTAAACCAGCAGCTCACCTGCAAGGAGTTTCTTACCCCAAACCAGTTAGTCACTCACTGGTGGAAACAGGACTGTGAGGCTTTAGAAAGCACCACCGTTCTCTTGAATCCAGGTATGGCCTCCTGAAATTACATACAAGGAAAGTCATAACTCTGCCTCATCTTGATAGCGCCTGACTGCATCCCAAAGGTTTTCACCTGGTTGGTCATCCTGCATCTCATGGAGAAAGTCCCATAAATCTGAACAATCCCCTGGGCTCAGAACCTCCAGTCAACCACAGACAAAGTAGCAGCAAAGAAAAACACTGCCAGAAAGCTATCCAATCTTTTTTCTTTGGAAAAACAAGGTGCAGGAACGCAGGCACCACTTCATTCGTGGCATCCTCTTGGTATAACTACTACAGGATTAACACTACCACTCCTTCTGTACTGTACATTGTTCAGAGATGGAGCAGAGGGAGATGGGTCTGACACTAAGGACCACAGTTTCACTTGGAAATTCCTTGAGGAGGAACTTATTTTCATGAACCAGGCTTTCATGATGGCAACATATTAATGGTGTCTGTGCAAGGCAGTCTACAGGACATGTTGCTTCCTGGAGATGCCTGCAGTTGAGGTAGCAGCAATTTGAGGAATGGCTTCTTTTCAAAAAGCTCCAAATCAGGCCTATAGTGGAACTGTTCAGCTCTGGAAGCCAGATAATACCTATTTCAAAGTAAATCCCCAAACCATGGAGAGATGAGGATCCCCAGCACCAACTGAAAGGGGTATAATCTCCTTATTCACTCTTACTGTACTGTGTTACTGTTAATGTAGATTTAGCACTGCAATACTTGAGGTTTTCCACTGAAATTCCCATCAAACTCAAAACTAAAGCCTTTCTAAATCAGGTGTCAAGGTACTTAAGTTTCTTTGCTCTGTCTGCTGTAGGAAGCCTCAAATGCCAGAGTAAAATAAAGATTATCAATTAAGGAAAATAAACAAATGAATAAAAATCCCAGGATCTTGTCCTAGAAAGATGGAATCACAGTGTCAACAACTGCTATTCTTTTTAAAAGGTCAAGCATGTTATTTTCAGTTACACTAGAACTAGAAGCATTCATTTCATACCTATCATCAAGATTCATCAGAGTGTCCTAGGCTTGCCACAGGTTGCTAGCTATCACAAAAGGCCTGGATTGCTTTGGGGTTTCTCCTAAGCACTCCTCCTCTTCCATCCTCTTCTCCTCCTGAAATGTTATCTTTAAAAAGGTAACACATGTGGAATCCATATGTCAATTCCAGTGACTTTACACTGACAGAGTTAGCAGCACCACCTCAGTGAAATAAGATTTTGTTAAAAAACTGAGATCAGAACCAGGACATGGTGTTTCACCTTCTCATCCATCCAATTCCTCAATAGCAGCATTGTGCATTTACATACCAGATGGCACCACAGATCGATGACAAAGTTGTTCTTTTTTTCCCTTCCTTGTTATACTATTAACAAGAGATTTGTTCAGAACACAAAATATACAATCAGTTGACATTTTGCCCCCTACACTGCTTGAGGCAAGGAAGGGGCAGAGACTGGTTTTGGTATCACATGGATTTTCTGTATGTCTCAGTTTTGTTTCTGACAAGAACAAACAGTAACCTTCAGTTATCATCCTCTCCCAGAAGTGAAGCTTTTCTTCAGGAAAACACGATTTGATTATGAGCTCTTGGACATTTTCAGAGTACTGCACAAGGGCTGGCATGTTGCTTGGGAACTTTTCCCTACATCTCTTTCACCTTTGAAACCCCCATTGAGTTCATCTGGGATAATATAAGAGAAACACTGAACCATTTGGCCAAATGAGCAAGTTTATGCTCCTCACTAATGTTCATCCTTCTTTCTCTCTTTATTTTTCCCTCTGCAAAAAATGTGTTGTGTCAAACTTTAATGGGTCTAGCAAAAACAATTAGATCCTTCTGGTGTTAATCACAGACTGGCTGAGGCTGGCAGGGACCTCTGGAGGTCATCTGGTCTAATCCCCTGGTCCAGCAGGGCCACCTACAGCT